AGAGGGTCATACGTATACCTTTGTGTTTAAAGATTCTTCGCTAAATATGATGTCAATGTCCAAGAAATGCATTTGTGTTGAACTTATTTGTTCCATTTTAAGATTAAATCTCTCATTATTTGAGATGTTGGATCCTATTTATGTTTTTCCATAATATAAAGACATCATCACATACCTCTTGCATGTTAGCCTTAAAATGTGTAACAGTATTCTTCTCCAACTTACGGACAACCAATTTACATAGCAAACACTAAATTGGGCTTCTCAAGGGCACACATTTTCTTTGTCTATATATCTGGCCTTCAAAGCTGCAAAACGATTGGCAACATATAAGATCAGCTAGTTGTTAAATATCTTTAGGAAAAGCAGTTACTTCCTGTTTTAAGAGATACGTGGTGTTCATTAGCGCCTCATAGCACGACTTTATCTTAATTGAAGGGTATAGGTTTTCAAAATTTATAACCGTTCCAATTTCTTCATTCATTATCAGAGCCCTTAAGAAATATTGAGATTAAAGCAAGGGATGTTTTTCCAGTCTTTTGACCTTTCTGTTTAATTTTTTGACTATATTTTCTTCTATTCTTTCGCATTCCGTTTTCTCAATGTATTCCTCTAATGCTTTACTATAAAATTGTCTTTTCATTATGACTAAATGTTTACTTTTATTTGCTCTTGTTATAACTAAATTATTCATTGTTAACCATTATTTCGTGCGTTTAACTTCCTTCATTTCAACTTCTTTTATGTGCATCTGTTTTCTAAGGACTGCCTTCCATCTAAAATAATCCTTTTTTTACCTCATGAAGTCTTGTGACTCCTATTTCCATTTCAGATATTGTGTCTTGCCAATACTTGTTATCCAGTGCAAAATTCGGGTCTTTTTCAAGGCGCTTCCTAATGCCTTCTGGTACATTGATGGGGTCCCACAATATAAATGGTGTAGATTGCTTTATTCTTTTTCTTTTTCTTGCTTACTTAGTACAAATTTAGTCCAACTTCTTTTTGTATTTCTTCTTCAAAATAGTTTCATTTGATCCGTTAAATTAACTACACTTAATTCTTACCAAGTTGTAAGTTGGGTCCTCAAAATGCATTTCATTTTCTGGCTTTGTAAGCTCATTTAATGCTTTATACTTAATATTCTTAGTATATGTTACATAAGCAAAATCGTTTTATCTGCCATCTCAATGCTCTATATTCATCGGGTACATTGATTCGATGGATTGACATCGGAAAAATTACATTCTTCTTGCATTCATTCAAGAAATCCAGCTTGCAACTTACCCTTATAATCTTCAGAGATAGTTTTCTATACTTCTTAATTAAGATTGGAAGGGTAAGTTACAAGCTGTCTGAAGATTTTTAAAGAAAAGTACAGTATTTGGGTTTAAACACACACTTGGCAGTGCGTTCAGTGAAAGAAATTTTGTTCTTTACACATCACAATTCCTTTCACTGTTGATTTAAAGTGTATATATTGTAATAATAATTTCTTCAAACAGTACATAATTAAATAAATTCTTAAATCATTAGTAATAAAATAAATCTGTAAAGAAAGCACCGCCAAATGTGTGTTTAAAACCTAAATATTTATCTTTAAAAATATTTGGGCACAGATACCAAAACTGTATTCAATGAAATAGTTCTTTATGCCATGATTACGTTTTTCAACGTCGGAAATATTACTTGATATCACAAGTTTCCATAGAGAAATAATTATAAATATAATATGTAAACATTGAATGAAGGTATACTTAATTTTACTAAAATGTGTTTCGTATATATCCTCGATAAAACGGTGATAATTTGAAAAAGATTAATCTACGCATAATTGACGGCAGTTTCTGTACCTTTAAGGCATACAAGTATGTTTTTTTTTTTGGGGATCATTTATATTATGTTATAAACGAATTTTATATATTTTTTCCTTTAGGTTTACTATATTTCTAAAGGAAATTTATATATAAACCTTTCTACTAATCATTTAAAATATTTTTACCAAAGAGATTTTTAAAAAAAATACGAAAAGAAATTTTATTTTTTAAAAGATTTCGCTTTCTTCTTTCAGAAATTTCTATACTGAATATTGCTCTTACCTCAGAGACAGTTGAATTTACTTTATGTACAAGTATATACAGAAATATAATCGACTAGTTAAAAGATGTTCCAGTGGAACATGAGTAAAGAGCATGTCTTTTAATAATAAAAAATAAATAGAAATTCTTCGATAAGTATGCTTCACAAATCATATTGGTTCCTGTTTGAGAATATAATGGATAAGCTGAAAGAATGATATCAAACCATTTACTTATTCATTGATTTTCGATGAGTCAATGCGAAGAGGCGAATAAGTTTACCGATCATATTTGCGGAGTTTATTCATATTTCTTTGAAGAATATATTAGTTTTTATTGTAATTTCGATTATTTTAAAGTTAAAACTTGTTTTATTTAATATTATTCATTTATTTTATTTTTTTGAAAATTGAAGAAGACAATACAGAGAATTGCAGTAGCTTCCTTCTTCAAAATATTGAACTTATGTAAAACATACTTAAAATATTTATATATATACAGTAAAATACTGTATATTTAAATTTAAAACTTAAAAACAAACAATAAAACAATTAAGTTAAATATAAATGTTTTAAAGCAGTTGTTAAATGAGGTTGTAAACACATTGTACGTATGGTATGTTCTTAAGTTATTATAGTGCTTTAATATAACGTATTGTTTTTAAGAAATATTTCAAAAAAAGCAAGAACAAGCTTACGATGTTTTTATAATTTCAATTTTTACAGAAATAAAAATGAATATAGCAATTTTTGCAATGTTGAAATTCATTTTAAACTATGGAATTATGAGGTAATAAACATAGAATTCGAACCATTGTAAAATTTTAATACAAATGAAATGATTCAATTAATTACAATCAAACCTCGATATAGTGCACTCCACGTTCGTAAAGTGATAATGAACGAATCTTTTCTTTAAACCTTTCAATATCTACGAATTACTAAATGCACGATTTTGTATTCCAAACAATATTGTTTAATAATGACGAATAATGTAATTTGCAAACTGTCAAACTCAATCTTGTGTATAGAACTCACTATTACATCTAATCGTCGTTGTTTGAGATGCTTCACTCGATTTAGTGCTAATTTTAAAGACGAATAAATAGAAGTTTGACTGTACAGTACTTGTATATAAGACCTTAATAGCATCTCATTTTTATAAAACTTAGAATTTAAGAGAACAAGAATTTTAATTTTAATTAATTTGAAAATTTTTCGGAAAATATTTTAAAAATATATGTGTATTCTCACACACAAAAGTATATATATATATGCATACTTAATTATATAATACGATATATCAAGGGCGAATGTAGGTGTCATCCTTGGAGGGTATCAGAAAATAAGGTGTATGCTTGATATTTTGTTTTGTAGATTGATTTAAAAATACTTATTTGGTTAAGGGGACATAATAATATTTCTTCTGTTCTCTATGAAGTGTATGCTTTGTCCTCTCTGAGTAGGGAGGTACTGTACATCCCTTCTGTCCCTCTCTAAATACATACCTTCTATTCTTCTTGAGTAGAGAAAAAAAATATATATATATCCCTCCCGTCCTGTCTCTGTTGTAATATATAACATATATATCAATTAAAGGTAAATTTAATTGTGTATGTTAAAGCTAGTGTACTATTATTCTACTGCTTCATACCGCCATCTATAACTCAACACAGTAACTATTTTATTATATCAAAAATATTATTTAAATATTTAAAATTAATTATTGATATTTAATAAAAGTTTTTTTTTTAAATAAANTTAAATATCATTCTGTTTCTCAAGTAAAAACAATATTATACACACAAACCATTGACGGGAATAAAATACGTCGCTTTAGAGGTGGCTATTCATCCAAGGCGGGTTAAATCCATAATTCTTTAAGATCCTACTTTTTTAATCCAAAGGAATTTGCTTGCAGATTTGTATATGAATATGTGTATGCATATATACACAGGGTGGCCTAAAAGTCAGTTAACCGAGATACCTTTTTGCGATTCAATGTCTCACTGAAATGAATAAAACACGAATGGTAACGTGTAGATGTTTCAAGCAAGTTTTAAACGTTCTTAAAATAATCCTCAAAGAAGTAAATTTTGGTTAGCTGACTTTTGAGTCATCCTGTAGGCTAATTTTCTAATATTTCTTTAAAATAAATTTAAATTACATAACATTTGATTAATATTCACACATATTTTTTTTATAATTAAATTTATAGCTGATAAATAATAAAAAAAAAGCTATTATTGAAATTAGTTACATTGCACTTTAAACTCTTTCTTTTTTCCAGTTTATAAGTTATAAAATTTATAAATATAAAAGAAATAAGATGAAAAAGTTATAATTGTGATGTTTTTGTAAAGTTTACTACTTCGAAGAATATTATTTTTCTTTATTTTCCATCTTACTATTTATTAATATGTTAAAAAAAACATTGTAACTCATTTATCTTATGATTTTTTTTATGTATCCCACTCTCTTGATTGCAAGTTGATTTGTCTATAGCTTTGGAGTCTGGAGTTTTTTTTTATCGTTTATATCAATATGATCCTTGGTGTTTCTCGTTTTTTCTTATTGCAGATCTTGGCACACAGTACAGCTATTGGAAGTCTCTGGGATGCCATCCTTTCCACATATTCATACTAAATCAGTTATCTTTTGTGGATTTTATTTGTAATAGTCAATATATTGTAGCTCAAGTCATACTTCTGCTTTTTATCAGTCCATTTGGTATTGTTTATTTTCCGTAAACATTTCATTTCAAAGGCTTCCAACATCCTGGCTTCTTTTTTTCTTATATATTCAGTTCTCAGAGTCATAAATTGCATTTGAGTTTATAAAGGTATTACATAATTTTAGTTTTAACAAGTTTGAAATGCTATTAGTATTCTAGATTTTGTTGTAATACAATTTAAATTTTTTAAAGAGATATTCCGGAAAGACTTTATGGGAAACTGATCCCTATTTTGATGTTAGACACATGAAGAAAATCCAGGAAACTCAATGAATAATACGAACTATTCATGAAAAATCACAAAGGTATGAACCGAATTCGAATTTTGTAACCCTTAGCAGAAACTATTTGACAGATTTTTGTATATTGAGTTTTTCAACGAATCGAATACCAAATTATTTGGAATTGAAATGGTGACGTAAAAAACGGAATGCTCTTCTATCAAGAAGATAAATTTAATTCCTTCTCTATTATACTCTTGAATAGTTGTGTTACTATTTCAAGATATTTTAAATGTTAAAAAAACAAAACACTAATCATAACTGCCATATATAAATTAGAATAGAATAATGAAATAATTTTATAAATATTATTTATTATCTTACTATAATTTCGAATTATTTTTGTACCTCTGCTGTAATCATATATTTAATTAATTGATTAAATTAAATTATAGAAATCTAGAAAATTATAATTCTACACATTTTTTAAAAAATTATTTCACCAGTCGATTATAAATCTTAAAATACAGTAACGAAAACTTCGTATATTTTAATTGTATTAAAATGAAAGAAAGAAATATAAAATTATAGTTTGGTTTGGTGTGATGAAATACAGCAACAAGCATTAGAGAGATCTGTCAAGAAGTGATGCCGGAAGACATTTTATAGGAAATTGGCCCCTATTTAGGTGTTAGATACTGAAGAAAACCCAAAAACTTCACGTGTCCAACCCGTCAGTGAGGCGCAAACCCACAATAAATTACCAATGATATTAGATTGTAAAATTCAAAATATAAATTATTATTATTATTTTTTTTATTATCTACTTAATAATGATATTCAAGGAAACAATTTTAAATATATTTGACTGAACTATTATTCTATTATCTAGTATTTTTTGATCTTTCAGTTTATAATCCAAGATGGTTTATTTGAAAGAAAACTAAATCAATATCTAGATTCCATTTGAGATTACAATTCTTTAATAAGTATTTATAAAAATAAAATATGAAAAAGTTATGAAAAAAATTATAATTTTTTTTTTCGTAAAAATAAATAACAAAAGCTATTTATATTTAGGTAATACTTTTAGTAATGAATTGCAATAGCAAAGGCCATCAAGGATAAATTGGAATAAAACGATTCTGGAAAACATGAATTACAAGATAAGGACGAAGTGAATAGAAAGGAATAACGACTAAGATAATAAAAAAGAAAGAAGAAAACGGATAATAAAATGAATGAATTTAATCATATGATAATTAGTGTTTTTTACAATTAATTTTCGATGTTATTATTAAGAAATCTTGAAGGCTGTAAATAGAATTTTAAGAATATAAATGTAAGCAATTATGAACGACTAATTGAATTAAACTAGCACGATTCGTGATCAAGCAAGAAATCGTACATTTATAGAATTTCAAATAACTTTAAAAATATTACAAAATATAAAAGATAAAATTACAATAAATAAATAATAAACAGTACAGACTTTAATAAATTATCGATATTACAAATTGTTAATTTGTTTTAAAAAACACTTGAAATTTTTTTTTTCTTATCGCACTGTATAGAAGTCAGAAACCTATATAATAAAGTTATAGCAAACTACAGTGAAACTCTTCTTAAGCGATCACCCCTCATAAAAACCACCCCTCTAAAGCGATCACNTATCGACTATTTTGTTGAATATCTTACAATCTATTTTAGTCATCAAATTTCTTTAAGATTTTTATACTTTATGATATCATTAATATAATGACTTGACAAATTATTAAAAATATAAATGATGATGATCTTTTAAACTGTACATTCACAAATAATTTCCTTTACATTTTTGTTAGAAAGCAATTTTGTAAAATTATTTTTCGATAAAGTTCTGTAATTTATATATAAATTTCTTATTTTACTTAAGCTAATTTTGTTAGTTTGCCTGCAATTATTATTATTATTTTTTGTTATATATTGTGCATAATTTAAATAATATGAATCACATTTAAATATACCTTAAATTATTAGTAAATATCTGATGAAACTATTATCCTAAAAATGTGTTTATCTAAAAATAAATATCTGATTTCTCAATAATAGGAAGAAAGAGATTCATTAATTAATAATGAGGCACATCAACATTATTATCGCTGAAGTAAGTAATTAAGCTAGGAAAATCATCCTGTATTATTTTAAACATAGTTTTTTTTTAGTTTCTTTACTAATTAATGATTTATGAAAAAAAACGAAAATTATAAAGTAATTATTCTCCTAAAGCCTATATTCTGTCACATTTAATAAATTACTTCGATTAAAGATGTGTTGTAAATATGTAATGCCGGGGGCAGTAGCCTATATATCGTATATACTGTGTATGTATTATTTTGTATATTTTAACAGTATGTACTGATAAATATTAATATTAGCATTAATTTAACTATTCGTTACAATATCCTAAAATTATTTACTTTTTATTAAGAAAATTTATAGCACCCTTTCTTATTTAAAATCCATATTATATGCACAATCTGTCTCTACCTAGTTTTGCCATTAAAAAAGGATTCGATATTGGTTTTTGAGCAGAATACAGTAATTTCAGAAATATTTTCCCAAATGTTCATATAAATTTCCAAAAAATGATTTACTATTTACTAAAATAACTATAATTTGAACAATATAATTACGTTTTTTTTTCAGTGTTAAATAGTTTTTCCCCCCTCGTCATTAAAGTTGAAAAATAAATTCTCTTATCTTAATTACTAGTATATTAATTTTTCTTCCTATTTGCAATTTATGCTGTTCTCCCTGTTTGTATATACCAGGGTGGCGAACCTGTGGCACATCGCGAGAAATCATCTGGTACGTATCATACAATTTCGGTTTATCATCAGTTTTTTTTTGTTTAATTATTCTTTCGGTTTATCATCTGATCATCCTTTTTTCATCAGCTTCATTACATTTATTCTAATTAAGTCATATTCGTTTCATCATTTTAAATATCGTAATTCGAAGTCTAAACGTTTGGCACGCATAAACATTTTTAAAGGGTCCATCAGTGGCCAAGCGGTTCCTTTCCCGGAACACTGAGAGTTCGGTCGTGGGTTCTCGGGCCTCGCTAGAAAGGGCTGGCCACGTGGCCAGCCCTTTCTAGTCTTTAAAAAACCCAGAAGTTATATAACTACATGATATTATCAAATTAAGAGGTAAAAATCATCGATAGAGGAGAAATCTTGAATACAAATCTTGCTTCTGAAAGAAGAGATCGAGAATCAGAATTAGCATTTACAAAATTAAAATTTCAATTAGATCTACTGAAATCTTTTCATTTTTTGAAAAACACCTTTATAAATTTATCTTTTTTAAGTTTTTTTTTGTTTTTAATAATTTAAATTCTTTTAGAAATTATGAATGTGCCCAGAAGAAAAAACTTTGATGAAATTTGTTAAGAGACAAGGTTAGACTAAGAATGACAGAAATAAAAGAGAATATTTTTACTAAACACAATGACCGATACGCTTGCAGACACGCTTCTAGGTATAAGCGTGAGAAGATAGTAAAAATAAATCACTTTTTGAGAAGATAGTAATGGTTATTTTTCAATTGATGTCAGTTCTTTTGATGCTATGGAACAGCATAAATTTTAACAGCATATTGAGAAATTTTTAAACAGAAATATTAGTTTAATTTTTTTTTGTATGATAAAATAAATAGTACATAAAGGAATATTTTAATACAATTCAAGAAAGTATTGTAAATGAGTTTAGTTCCCTTCACAAGAAATTCAGCAAAATCATTCTGAACTCCAAGTTCTTTTGAGATCTACATGAACTGAAGTCTCAGATATATTTTATAAAATAAATTATTGTATTTTTTTATATATGAAAAATCAATTTTATTAGTTTAAATTTGGTATTTAAAGCATATACATGTACAAATTCAAATTCTAGAGTCTTGAATTATGAAAATGTCAAATACCAATAGTTATAAAATTGAGTTTAAAATGAACTAAAAAAATATATAAACTAAACAAATTAATTTTTGTTTCATAATATTCTAATTTTTTTTTTATTTATAAGAATACTATTTAATTAATATAACTTTTTAAAATTATCTCTGAATTTCTCTTCTTTTTTGTTTTATTAGGCCTATTTTATACATTCTTTTAAATAGTCTATTTTATTATTATTTACATATATTTTTAATTATTTTAATTTTATATCCAAGAAATTTTTAATGTATTGAATTTTAATCTTTTGAATTAAATCCTATTCATAGTAATGAATATCAATAATGAATTTCATAAACAAGCATATGTTTACATAACTTACAAGTAGATTTCTAGTGAAGAATATAAGGCCTTTTACCCTGTATTTTTTGAAATATCGTACACCATATCATAACAATGATGTACAGTACATTACATTGTATATATATATATATATATATATATTGAGGAAAATAAAATGAATTAACGTAGTATTAATTTGTCTCGTCAGTAAAATATTTACTTAAAACAAAGTCAATTTTAAATGCTAAACAAAAAATTTCACAAAAATTGTACACAATCTACTGGTTATAAGATTATTAAAATCGTGATTATAATGATGATTATAAGGTTGATTACATAGGTTTTAAGTTAGAATGTAATCATCTCATGTACTTTATTCAATCATAAATTCTTATAATTGCATAAATTACATTTCTCATCATCATTATCAAACTAACAAGTGTTAGGCCTTAGGGCCTATAACAGTTTCATCCATCTTCTAGAAATCTGTCTTTAACTCATCCTCTACGGGATTTATAGTTTAAGATGTCCTTAGGGTGTCTTCCACTATCCATTTTATGCATATGTTATCTCAAAGGAAGTATCTTACTGTCAAAAAATATATTCGGCTCTAAAATGGATAATGGAGATAACGAGAAAAACTAAGAAAAATAAAAATTATATTTCTTATATAAGATAAAATATTTTTATTAAGGATAATTTTACAAAGTTTTTTTCTTTCTTTTTAAATTGGAAAACTTACTTAAAAGTTTATTTTAAATTCTATAATTTAAAAAAAAATTCTATCTTAAAAATCAATACTTATTTTCATTGTATTCTGTAAAGTTACAGGTCTATAGATAAGTTATTTACCTAATTGATTTTTCAAATTTAGATTAATTAGGAACAACTTGAAGTTTTGATAATCTCTGATTAATTAATTTGCTATTTTCTTTCAATATTAGATATTTTATGTTTTCTCCTTAATTACATTTTGTAAAATTTAATAACATTTCTTAGTTTAATTTTAAACATTATTGTTGCCATTCTATAATATATAATAGATTTTTCAATAACTTAAAAATTCTTGAAATGACAACGTCAGATTTTTATTAAAAAGTCAAAAAAGTAGAGCTACTTCAGAAAGATTTTACAATGGAAGACTCAAATAGTATTTTAAAGAAGCTTAAAGAACTACTTTTTTTAAAAAAAATTTTCTTTAAAGTTTTCTTTCTCTAAACTGAAATAAAAAAAGGAATTTTTTGTTTTGAATTAATTAAAAAAATGTTACAAAATCAATACAATTAATTATTTCAAAATACATTATTTATTACTTAATGTTTATATACTGTAAGAACTGATAAATTAGAAGAATTAACCTTTTAAATAATGATTCCATGTTTTAATAGAATAACAACAAACTTACTTCAAGAAGTTCAATTTCCTCAAAGAAAGTTTAGAAGCTTTTATTGTTTTTCTACAATAGTAATTTTTTTTCTTGTTCTCTCCAATTAAATTGTTTAAATTTATTTTAAAAACTACTTAATAACTATATATTAAATATTTTAAATAATTATTTTAGTAAATTTATGAAAAATATCTGTTTCTAGTTTATCATTTAGAACAGTGGTTCCCAACCTTTTTTCATTAGCGTACCCCGTGACATGTCATATCTCTAGATTGTACCCCATGACATGTCATATCTCTAGATTGTAGCCCTCATTTAAGAAATTTAGTGAGTAAGCGTTATTGTTAATTTTATATATTGTAACTTTAAATTAAAGAAAAAAAACCTAAAAGAAAAAATGTATAATAAAGTTGTGATTGTTGCAAGGAACATTTTTTATCTAATAATTTTTTAATACTATTAGTTTGTGATACATAATATATTATTTTTTCTGCCATAATAACTAACTATTTCCTGTACCCCTAAACAACCTATCGCGTACCCCTAGGGGTACG